GACGCCGTGTCGGCACGGGTCGAACCATCACCCAGGCAAGGGCTGGGGAGAAGGAGTGACCGCATGAGTTAGCGACACCACAGCAGCACATGTAACGCCGTGGCGGCAAGGGTCAAACCGCCACCCAGGTTTCGGGTACGGGATCGACTAGAGAATTGATTTATCCCAGAATTGATTTGTTCGTCGAGCCCATGACTAATGTGTAGAACGCGCGTTGATCTACGAGCATGATGTGTATATATACATATATAACTCGGCGAGAAAACAAATTCTGGGGTAACTCAATTCTGTAGTCGAACCCCTACTCGAAGTTTGGCATGCTAGAAAAGTGGGGGCTGGCCAGTGCGCCGTAGTGCGTAGGTGAACTGACGGTAACGGGCACAACCAGCCAGCAGGGGAGTAGGTCCCGTGCACGGCCCAGAGAAGAAAATCAGCGCATGGTGGCAATGCGCGCCTGAAGGTCACGGAGGTCGGAGTTGTGGAGGTACGTTGGCACCCCTCCCTATTGCCATCTTCGTTGGCCGAGGGACCGTAGGGGGCGGCCTCGGCCCCCTTCTGGTGCCTCTTGACGGCATGGTGGATTGATGTACTGGCGGGAGGGCAAGGGCGGAGGGAGGAGAGCGGAGAGAGGGAAGCGGGGAAGGGGAGGGAAGCAGGGAAGGGGAACGTATATAAGCGCGAGGGGAGGGCAGGGGGGGGCGGAGAGGAGCGCAGGGAAGGGAGGGTGAGCAGGGCTCAGGGGGGCGAGGGGAGGGCTTGGGAGGAGGTGCGAAGGGCAGAGGAGGGAGAGGGAAGAGAGGCGGGGGGGGGGGGGAAGGGGGGGAAGGGGAAGGAGACGGTGCAGGAGCCGGAGCGGGGACAGAAGCGGTAGGGGACAGGGGGGGATCTCCCACCGCCCACTGATTGAATTGACACGCCGAGGCCGCAATCATTGTGACTGGGCAAATGGGTCCATCAGCTTGGCTACTTTCGTGGTATACTGGCGTCTGCGCGCTTCAGCACCCAAGCGATCCGTCTTTGTGGATTTTCGCCGTCCATGATGGAGTTCATACCAAGATGGTTGGTGTAAACATTGTGAACGGTGTTGACTCGGGATCACGAAGTGCAAGGTACGTCGCTGAATATCAGGAGCTCACCCCTTCATCAATCAGCGCTTGTTGGGACAGTGGTGATATTGCACCGTACGGGCCGTCTGGCTACCAACTCCTCAACATCAACATCGAGCCACAGGCTGGTAATGCTGCAAATCTGCTTCCCTTTCGCTCGCCAGGTTCCCCAAACAGGGCTCGCACGCCGGGTAGATTGCTCACCGTCGCATGACTGGGCAGTTGTTGTGTACAGTGGAGGTCCATGCCAAGAGACACCCTGCTTGCCTCCCGATGGGCAGCGTGGCATTCCCACACCAAGAGTCGATGGACGTCCTGGGGTCTCAGGGTTGGGTTTCCTGTGGAAGGCTCCTTGTTGTCGGGCCCCTGCAGTCTGCCCTGCTGCATGGCTTTTGCGACGAGCGCTCCTATTTCGATGACACTCTGTCGCTGGACTCTGTCGCTGGAGTCGCGCGCGATGGGGTCGCATACGTGACGGTCCCACCCCACCAGGTCAAGTCGGGCCTGTCCCTCCACAGGGAGAATAATCAAAAATAGTCAAAACATAGTCTGGGGACTGTTACCTAACAGCGAAGACTGATAGGTTTCTAGTGGTGTCAAAAGAGAGCATCATGACTCCTCAGGGGGGTCGGGGCGGGACCCGGGGCGGCTGCCGTCGAAGCCCAAATCGCTTAGGACATCTTCGCAAAATCGCTTTTGGCGCTGCTAGAACTCCATTCCGGCGTACATTTTGGATGCCCGGAGCCAACTGTAGGCCACTTCGTGCTCTTCGAGTTCCCAGAACTCCATTCCCGGGCACATTTTGAATGCCCGGAGCCAACTGTAGGCCACTTCGTGTCTTCGAGTTCCCAGAACTCCATTCCCGGGCCACATTTTGAATGCCCGGAGCCAACTGTAGGCCACTTCGTGCTCTTCGAGTTCCCAGAACTCCATTCCTGGGCATGATTTTGAATGCACGGAGCCAACTGTAGGCCACTTCGTGTTCTTCTAGTTCCCAGAACTCCATTCCTGGGCCAATTCCCGGGCCAAATTTGAATGCCCAGAGCCAAATGTAGGCCGGTTCGTGTCTTTTCGAGTTCCCAACGCCCCAGAATTCAATTTCCGGGCCACCTTTTGAATGCCGGAGCCAATTTTTTTGTGGTTTTGAGGCAGGCTGCTGCTGAGGCAGGCTGAGGCTGAGGCTGAGGCAGGCTGAGGCTGAGGCAGGCTGAGGCTGAGGCTGAGGTTGAGGCTGAGGCTGAGGCTGAGGCAGGCTGAGGCAGACGCTGAGGCAGGCTGATGCTGAGGCAGGCTGAGGCTGAGGCTGAGGCTGATGCAGGCTGAGGCTGAGGCTGAGGAAAAGGTTGAGGCTGAGGCTAAGGTTGAGGCTGAAGCTGAAGCAGGCTGAGGCTGAGGCTGAGGCAGGCTGAGGCTGAGGCTTAGGCAAGCTGATACTGAGGCAGACTGAGGCTGAGGCTGAGGCAGGCAGGCTGAGGCAGGCTGAGGCTGAGGCAGGCTGAGGCAGGCTGAGGCAGGCTGATGCTGAGGCTGAGGCTGAGGCTGAGGCTGAGGATGAGGCAGGCTGAGGCACACGCTGAGGCAGGCTGAGGCTGAGGCTGAGGCAGGCTGTGGCTGAGGCTGAGGCTGAGGCAGGCTGAGGCTGAGGCTGATGCAGGCTGAGGCTGAGGCAGGCTGAGGCTGAGGCCGAGGCTGAAGGCAGACTGAGGCTGAGGCTGAAGCAGGCTGAGGCTGAGGCTGAGGCAGGCTGAGGCTGAGGCTGAGGCTGAGGCTGAGGCAGGCTGATGCTGAGGCAGGCTGAGGCTGAGGCTGAGGCTGATGCAGGCTGAGGCTGAGGCAGGCTGAGGCTGAGGCCGAGGCTGAAGGCAGACTGAGGCTGAGGCTGAAGCAGGCTGAGGCTGAGGCTGAGGCAGGCTGAGGCTGAGGCTGAGGCAGGCTGATACTGAGGCAGGCTGAGGCTGAGGCTGTGACTGTGACTGCCGTTGCCACTGCGACTGTCATCGCGAATGCGACTGCGACTGCGAGAACAGGAGAATTCTACAACTGGATTCTCATCTGGATCTTAAGGGGAATGTTTCCATATATGCTTCTACACATCGCTGTTAGGTTGCTTTGCCGGGATAAGTGTTTGAGTATGTGTTGGCCATGTTGTGTTTGTTTTAGTTGTTTAATTTTTTCGTTGAAAATCCCCCTGTAGGGGGACACGCCCAACTTAACCTTACGCGATGGGCTCCCACAGGGTGCGGTCCCTCACGATAGGGCCCCACGCAATGGGGTCCCGGACGAGAAGGTCCCGCACGATATGAGCATTCTCAGATGCGATCATCACGATGGGCTCCCATAGAGTACGGTCCCACACCATAGGGCCCAACACAAGGGGGTCCCAGACGAGAAGGTCCCACACGATATGAGTATTCGTATATGTGATCATGACCGGCGAGCAAGAAGGCGCCACAGTATAGGGCCATGGTGCCTCCCACACGATAGGACACCTTTGTAAGTCAAGCGCTGATTGGGGAATGATCCGCCACAATTTGAGATGCGATCGGCCTGGCCCGGTTCCAGGCGCCCCAAGACGACCCAAGATGGCCGCAAGACGGCCCGAGGAGGCCCCAAGAGGTCCCAACGAGATTGCCCAAGATGGCTTATAGATGGCCGCAAGACGGCCCAAGGGCCACTAAGACGGCGCAAGGGGGCTCGAAGAGGAACCCCAAGAGGCAATCAAGAGGCACACATCATAGGCTGCCCGTTTGCATGTTTGTACGATTCTGGCATATTCGCTTTTTCGATATTCCTAGTTCGAAGACAGCGAAAGAGGCCTCCAAGACGGCTCAAAAGGCGCCCAAGAAGGCGCAAAGAGCGACCGCAGTCGGCCCTAAAGGGGCCCAAGACAGCCGAAGAGGGCCCCGAGAGGGCCCTCAGACAGCCCCAGCAGACCCCCACGACGGTCCAGATGGACTCGGGACAACCCATACACGGCCCCAAGACGGCGTCAGCAGGGCCCTAGGAGACCCCCAAGAGAGGCCCAGTGGCAACCTTGGGTTAGCACGGCGACGGTCAGACATTATTTTCTTGTGCGCATGTATAAAGACTATCTTCCCGTCGCCGTACTAATCAACCCTTCGCGGGGTTTCTTTGGGCCATCGGGTTGCTTTCGTGGGGGGGCATGTAAGGCAATCGCGCGACCGTCTTCGGCTATCGGGGGCGCCTGGAGGAGCCTAGAGGCCGGATTGGAGCCTTCTTGGGCCGTCTTGAGCCCCTTTGGGTGCCCGCGCGGCTTGTCTTGAGGTCTGGGCTGTCTGAGGGGCCCTCTTGTTCTTGGCGGCCAAGAACAAGAAGGCCCCTCAGAGGCCCTCTTCTTCTGAAGCTCTAGAGGGCCCTTGGCCTTCCAGGTGGGCCTCTCTCGGAGCCGTCTTCAGCCGAGAGAAGGCGGGGAGCCCAAATGTACCAAAAGCGCATGGTCTCTTGAACGGTTTGACTTCCCGGGCGTCCTTCGCGAGCCCTTCGCCTCCCCAAAGGTCCGGCCGCCTCCCCAGAGGTCCAGCCGCCTCCCCGGAGGTTCCACCGCTCCCCCAGAAGTTCGGCCACCTCCCCGGAGGTCCCACCGCCTCCCCGTAAGGCTGACCGTCTCCCCAAAGGTCCCGCTCTCTCCCCCAAGCTCCGGCCGCCTCACCAGAAGTTTCGCCGCCTCCCTAGTGGTCCGGCCGTCTCCCCAAAGGTCCCGCCGCCTTTAAACAAGTTCCGCCACCTCCCCAAAGGTTCCGCCGCCTCCCCACAGGTTCCCGCCTCCCAGAAGGTTCCGCCGCCTCCCCACAGATTCTGCAACCTCCCCGGGGGTTCCGCCGCCTCCCCACAGGGTCCCGCCGCCTCCCAGAAAGGTCCGACCGCCTCCTCAATCTTCGTTTGGGGAGGCCGCGGGCGTAAGAGAAGTCGAAACAGGCGCAGTCTTTGGGGATACGGCTGCTCGCCGTCCTGGGGCGTTGTTGGGCGCTGACTTCTTGCCACGTAGATGTTTCAATTTGAGGACGTAGGTTCGTAGGCGTCGTGGATTATTCAAGCATGATATTTTGCCACGTTGCAGGCGTCGTAGGTTATTCAATCCTAAGGACCCAGACAGATGACCACAGGGGACCTGAGAGCACTCCAACTCGTGCCTCGCGGCACCCTGGCCGACGAGACGCCCTGCTTGAATCCCCCTCATGATATTATCTTTCTTGCAAGTCGTGCCCAACAAGCTTGGGGTTTGTTGCTCTATCAGTTTGCCATGTGAGCGACGCAAAAAAAGGGGCCGTCTGCGCCGACACTGGTGCACAAGCTGCCCGCGTGAGGTCGCGCGTAAGCGCCCTCGCTTCCAGCACAGCGTACCGCGCTGGCGGCCCGCGCAAGCCGCGGCGTAAGGTCGCTACGTCATCTCGCGTAACGGCGAGCGAGGGGGGGAAATGAGAAGGAGAAGGCCTTCTGTAAAGAAGGCGGGACTTCTCAGAAGCTCTCGCGCCTTCTGAGAAGTTCTTTCTGTCTTCGGGGAAGGCTCAGGAAACTTCTCGGAAGCCCGCGGGACTTCCGAGCCTTCTGAGAAGGCCCGCCCCTTCCCGTTTCCCCCCCCCCCGCTCGCCGCCGAGCAAGGCTCGCTCGTGATCGTCGCTCACGTCGGCTTCCCCTCAGGCCCCGGAGGAGCCCCGCGAAGTTCGCGGCCTCGAGGGGGGGGGGTCCGCGGGACCTCGCCCTCCCGGGGGGGCGCCCGCGGTGTTGCCGTGGCCGCTCTGCCCTAAGCTTACGTCGGGCATGTCCCCCCTACAGGAGGAATATCCTGTTGTTTATAAAAGAAATAGAGTGTGGATGATTATTCTAGTATTTTTGGCCAGTCTTGCATAGTTCTGACTATTGCCCAACCCTCCTGCGTTGGGTATTCGTTTTGAATAGAGCACTGCGGTCGCACGCCTCCTTCTCTCCCGCCCCCTCTCCCCTTCGCTCCTGCCTCTCACCTCGCTCCTTCCTGCGTGTCAGCTTGCCTCCTGCCTGGCCATCCCTGAGGGGCTGCGACCTGCGAAACTGTCGCCACTGTTGAGGGCTCTTAGGGGGTTCAGCGGAGTGGCGTCATACCCAGACTCAAATCAGACCTCGCCATCCCTGGGGGGTTGCGCTCTGCGAAACTGTCTCCTTTTTTCGAGGGCTGCTGGGGGGTCCAAGGGAGTGACGTCTTACCCGGTCTCTAATTAAACCTCGCCTTCCCGGGGGGGCTGCGATCTGCGAGATTGTCGCCACTGTCGAGGGCAGCCGGGGGGTCCAGCGGAGTGACGTCATACCCAGAGTCAAATCAGACCTTGCCATCCCTGGGGTCTGCAACCTGCGAAACCGTCGCAACTTTCGAGGGTTGGGTCCAGGGGAGCGACGTCTTACCCATCTTGACATTCGACCTCCCTATCCCAGGGGGGGCTGCGGTCTGCGAAACCGTCGCCACTTTTGACGGCTCTTGGTGGGTCCAGCGGGGTGACGCCTTACCCAGGCTCCAATTGGACCTCGCCATCCTTGTGGGGCTGGCGATCTGCGAAATTGTTTCCACTTTCGAGGACAGCTGATGGGTCCAGCGGAGTGACGCTTTACCCATATTCAGGTGAGACCTCGCCATCCCGGGGGGGCTGCGATATGCGAAACTGCCGCCGCGTTCGAAGGCTGCTGGGGGGTCCAGCGGAGTGACGCCTTTCCAAGATTCAGATTGCACCTCGCCATCCCTGTGGGGCTGGCGATATGCGAAACTGTCGCCAGTTTCGAGGGCTGCTGGGGGGTCCAGCGGAGCGACGTCTGACCCAGATTCAAATGAGACCTCGCCATCCTTGTGGGGCTGCGATCTGCGGAACCGTTGCCACTTTCGAGAGCTGTTTGGGGGGTGGAGCGGATGACGCCTTATTCAGATTGAGATGAGACCTCGCCATCCTTCGGGGCGTTGCGATCCGCGAGACCGTCGCCAGTTTCGAGGGCTGCTGTGGGGTCCAGCGGAGCGACGTTTTACGCGGACCGTCAGGAGACATCGCCATCCCTGGGGGGCTGCGAAGCTGGCGGGCGAGCTATGATTCGCTCGCTTCTTGCACTAACCATAAGCCAGTTAAGTATGTTTTCGAGCGCCGCGGCGACATGGCGCAGGCAGCGCTGCATCTTTAGCGTACCACCGACAATAACAACACTCTTCGGTCTCCTCCCGTTACTGTCGTCGTCATCCTCCGCCCCCTGCCACCTTTCTTCTGTTGCTGCCGCGCTGACGGTTCGACCCCCCGAGCGTCTTGCTCGTGCGCGTCATACCCGCCCCAATGTCCTCCTAAAGCCTAGGCCTTCGCTCCTCGTCCTTCTGCTGTTGTCCTGTGAACCGTGCCGCGTGAGCGCGTCCCCTGTAGCCTGCACAGCATGCAACGGCGCCTGCAGTGTCATTGTCTTGGCAAGTTTGGGCCCCCTCCTTTCTTGTCACTTGATGTAAGTAGGTTGGGTACGCCACAGGATAAACTTGAGTTTGCCTTCCAAATCCGCCTGCGGGAGGACATGCCCGACCTAACCCCACGCCTCTCAGGGGGGGGCCCGCCTGGGGCGTCGCCCCGCGCGGACCCGACCGGGGCACCGCCACACCTTTGGGTGCCGCGAGGCTTCGAGCAGGGGATCGGCAGCAGACTCGACTGGCCCCAGGCTGGGCTCCCGCGTCGAGTCTGCAGAGAGGCGCGCACAGCGTTCGTAGATGTACTGTGCGCGATGCAAGCGTTCTACGCACGCTCCATGGACTCGACGGGACAACATCAGTTTTTAGGGGGCCACATGCGAACCCGACCCCTACCCCCCCCCTCAGAAATCGTGGGGGGTAGGGGTCGGGTTCGCATGTGGCCCCCTAGTTTGGGGGTCAATCGATTCTGCGGTCTGTCTCCGATTCGAAGGCTTGGGGACGTCGCCGCCTTGCTGCACCCGCCGGGGGGGCCCAGCCGCGCACGGTTCTACAGCCAAGGGCGCTGACACGAGGACCGCTTTGAGCTCTGGAGGTGCTTTGGTTTTCGGGCCCCTCATCTAGGGGGCCACGTGCGAACCCCACCCCTTCCCCCCACGATTTCATTTGGAGGGTGGGGCTCACTTCGCTCGGGAGCTCCCGAGCGAAGTGAGCCCCGCCCTCCCCCTCAGAAATCGTGGGGGGGCAGGGGTGGGGTTCGCACGCGGCCCCCATCCGGGGCCCGGAGCCTGCTCTTGGCCGAGGCTCGCCGTGGCCAGGGAAGCCCCAGCCCTTCCCTCTGGAGGCACGACGGCCACGGGGAGCCGGGCGGGGCCTCGCCGCCCGGGCTCCCTGGAAGCTACGAGGCGCGGGCTCGGGGCGCTCCAAAAGGGGGCTCCGCCTCCGGGCGTCGAGGGAGCTTCGCGCGTCGGAGGAGCTGGCACAGTCCACCCGCGTAGTCAGGCTGGGCGCATTCCCAAGGGTACCCTTGCATCCTGGCCCCCTCGGCCCATCCTTAGCGGCTTTCGCCAGCCAGCTTCGTTCGCCAGACGTTCATGTGGCCCTCCAGGGCCCCTGCGCCCTAACCGCGCACCCTTGTGATACGGGTCGACTGTAGTTATTTCTTCCTCGGCGGAGGGCGGCGGAAGTCAGACGGGGGGCGGCTCCGCTGGCGGAGGCCCGCGGATCCCAGACCCGCCCCTCGAGTCCTGAGAAAGTCGGGACGAGAGGTTCTTGGCCATGTTCGGCCTTTGGGGGCCTTCACTCGAAGAAGAGAAAAGCCCTAAGCATAAACTGTTCGCGCTCCGCGCGGATTTCTTGGATCCGCGCTGGGCCCTCCCCCCCCCCAGACGGCGCCTCCGGCGCCGCCCCTGGCGCGCTCCGCGCGACAGGGAGGGGGGCTCCAGCGCTGATCCAAGAAATCCGCGCGGAGCGCCAAAAGTTTATGCTTATGGCGTTTTTGTTTATTTGCCGGGCCTCTGGGCCGTCAGAAAACGACTCGGGAGGAAAGGCTGGTCCCGGGGAAGGGGTCCAGACTTCTGGGGGACGTCATGGAAAAAGTCATGACGTCGGGGGTCTGGGAAGGCCGGCGGAAGTTGGTGGAAGCAAGCGTCAGCCCTCCAAGAGATGCCAATGTTCTTGCAGCCCGCCAACCGTCGCCACTTCCCTGCGCCCTAAGAGGGTCCGACGGACTCGGGCTTGGAATTTCTCTCCTGGGGGGGGGAGGCGCCCGCGAACGTGGCGGCACCCTGCGAATATCTTATGCGCGCACGGAGCGACCCATGGAAGAGGCAAAGAATTGGGCAACACCGTGAAAGCGCTGTTGCATAATTGAGGCATCAAGAAACCATTCGTCATCATCTCGTATCGCTCCTCCTCGCCCTGGATATGCCATTATGTGTAGTTTTTGTCCTCTGCCGTCTTCCTTTCTCCCTCTCACAAGCTCTGCCCTTCTCCTCCTCCTCCTCCTCCTCCGCCTCTTCCTCCTCCTCATCCTCCTCCTCCTCATCCTCCTCCTCCCCGTCATCGTCGTCGTCGCCATGGCTTCCTTTCCCCTCTGATTCCTCTTCTTTGGCGTTGCCTCAACTGGGCCCCGTTGGGCGTGCATGTCGCGGCTTCCTACACAGCTGTTGCATTTCATCGCACGTTGCTCTGATCATCCGCGTTCTGAATAGACACGTTGATGTGGTCAATTGCTACAGATTGGTTGGGCACGTCCTTGGGTAGTCTATGCTGATTTTATGCACAAGTCTGGACTCGGGATTTTTTCTGAAGTAATCGCAAATATGTGGAGCACATGTATGTAAGCATGTCTTGCACTCGCGCAGGACGGCACGACCTGCGCGACATCCACTGACACCTCCTCCACCAACAGTGTGACCAGCAGCACAGATTCAACGATGTCCACGTTGAGCATGACGTCTGCGACGTACACAACCTCCGTCTCCACCGCCACCTCAAGCACGAGCGAGTCCACTATTACTGCGACCAGCAATACTACAGTGAGCAGCGTCACAGGTACATCGAGCTCCACGTTGAGCATGACGTCTGTGACGTCCACGACATCCGTCTCCACCGCCACGTCAAGCATCAGCGTGTCCACTCTTACTTCGACGAGTAATACAACTTTGAGTGACACCGCTACAACGAGCTCCTCGTTGAGCATGACGTCGACGTCCACAACATCCATGTCCACCGCCACCTCAAGCACCAGCGTGTCTACTCTTACTGTAACTAGCAGAACTACTGTCAGCAGCAACACAGACACAACGAGCTCCACGTTGAGCATGACGTCTGCGACGTCCACAACCTCCGCCTCCACCGCCACCTCAAGCACCGGCGTGTCCATTATCCAGTTGCCTGCGGCAAGTCCCGCCACCGTGCCAGCCCAGCATGATTGGCAGGTCTCCTTCGAGGGGACACCGGAGGAGCGTAGTGAATGTTCGTTGGAATCTCGTGGGAGGCCTCTTGGGGGACTCTTGGGGGCAGTTTTGAGTCCCCTTGGGGGCCGTTTTGGGGCCCATTGTATTCGATTCGTGTTCCCTCTCTGGGGCCCCTTTCGGGGCCGTCTTGGGGCCCTCTTGGGCCGTTATGGGCATCTCTTTGGCCGTCGTGGGGCGCTCGTAGGCGGCCTTGGGACCCTCTTGGAGGCCTCGTGGGCTTCCCGGGGTGGTCTTGGGGGCCCTTCCTGGAGCGTCGGGAAGCCGAAACGACGAGAGAACACCCAATTCTGTCAAAAACGAAAAGAAAATCAATGATTCTGCCTTCGGGGACCCCCTTGAGGGACCTGATGGAGGCCTCTTGGGGCGCCTTGGAGGCCTCTTGCGCCATCTTGAGGCTTTCTCGGGCGTCTTCGATCGTCCCGCGACTCGGGGCCCTCTTGGACCGTCTTGGGGGCCTCCTGAGCCGTGATGGAAGCATTGGAGAGCCCCTGGGAGGCGCCATGGCCGCCCGGGGACCCCCGTGAGCATGGGCGATGCACGTAGCACTACGCGACCCAGAGGGGTGGGGCCACCTGAGCAGATTACAAACACCCTACCACACAGCAATTCTAGCACGCTTCAACGTGCCAGGGGGCACGGCGTACAACGAGCTCCACGTTGAGCATGACGTCTGCGACGTCCACAACCTCCGCCTCCACCGCCACCTCAAGCACCGGCGTGTCCATTATCCAGTTGCCTGCGGCAAGTCCCGCCACCGTGCCAGCCCAGCATGATTGGCAGGTCTCCTTCGAGGGGACACCGGAGGAGCGTAGTGAATGTTCGTTGGAATCTCGTGGGAGGCCTCTTGGGGGACTCTTGGAGGCAGTTTTGAGTCCCCTTGGGGGCCGTTTTGGGGCCCATTGTATTCGATTCGTGTTCCCTCTCTGGGGCCCCTTTCGGGGCCGTCTTGGGGCCCTCTTGGGCCGTCATGGGCATCTCTTGGGCCGTCGTGGGGCGCTCGTAGGCGGCCTTGGGACCCTCTTGGAGGCCTCGTGGGCTTCCCGGGGTGGTCTTGGGGGCCCTTCCTGGAGCGTCGGGAAGCCGAAACGACGAGAACGCCCAATTCTGTCAAAAACGAAAAGAAAATCAATGATTCTGCCTTCGGGGACCCCCTCGAGGGACCTGTTGGAGGCCTCTTGGGGCGCCTTGGAGGCCTCTTGCGCCATCTTGAGGCTTTCTCGGGCGTCTTCGATCGTCCCGCGACTCGGGGCCCTCTTGGACCGTCTTGGGGGCCTCCTGAGCCGTCATGGAAGCATTGGAGAGCCCCTGGGAGGCGCCATGGCCGCCCGGGGACCCCCGTGAGCATGGGCGATGCACGTAGCACTACGCGACCCAGAGGGGTGGGGCCACCTGAGCAGATTACAAACACCCTACCACACAGCAATTCTAGCACGCTTCAACGTGCCAGGGGGCACGGCGTACAACGAGCTCCACGTTGAGCATGACGTCTGCGACGTCCACAACCTCCGCCTCCACCGCCACCTCAAGCACAGGCGTGTCCATTATCCAGCTGCCTGCGGCAAACCCCGCCTTTAACACACCCTCCTTGTCCACAGCCTCGGCCTCTTCTTCCTTCCTCATTGCTCTTCCTCATATTTCCTCTCCGCCCTCCTCCCTCTTGGAGGCTTATCTGGAGGCTTCTCTTGGAGGCTTCTCTGGAATTTTCTCTTGAGCGCTGGGGACGTTTTAGGGGCCCACCCTTGGGGGTCGGCCCCCAGGGTGCTCTTGGAGACCTCTTGAGGGCCTCTTGGGCACATTGGAGGTGTATTGGGGTTATCTTGGGTGCTTCTCGGGAGCATGTTGGGAGTCTCTGGGGCCATGGGATGGAATATGCGGTGGGTTCATGCGGAGTTGGCGCGCCGGCGACGCCAGCGAAGGCGTTCAAGGTTGAATTCTGCGACGCGGAGGCACCGAGGACCGAGGGACACGGCAACGCCGCTGGACCCGACGGAATTCAACCTTGAACAGTCGGGGCCGCGATCGATTCAAGGTTGAACGATCGACGCGATGTCTCTAGGCCTCTCAGATCGGGTCGGAGTAGATGGGGTCGGAGGATCGCGTCACATCGCCGATGCATCGCCGATGCGGCTCGACGTGGAGCCCGATTTGCTTCACGTCGACGGCGCCGATGCACCGCCCACGTCGACGATGCATCGCCCATGTAATCATCGGAGTTGCGGCCCGATCCTCCGGCCCCATCTGCCTACCCCGGCACCACCTAGGAGGCCTCGATTGGACTAGCCGACGCCGCACGAGACTGCCACTAAGGTGTGCAAGGTCGGTGGCGCACCAGCGCGCACGGGCGTGAGGCGGGCTCGGGCGGGCTCCCAGGACCGTGTCGGGCTCTCCCTCTGTGGCCCCTCTTGGGGCCCTTTTGAGGGCCTCTCGGGCCGTTTGGGGGGGCCCTCCTCCTCCTCCTCCTCCTCCTCCTCCTCCTCCTCCTCCTCCTCCTCCTCCTCCTCCTCCTCCTCCTCCTCCTCCTCTCTGGGACCGTCTCGAGGCCCTCGTGAGCCGTCTTGGAGCCCATAGGAGCTGTTTGGGCAGTTCTGGGACGGTATTGGAGCTGACTGGGCTGTCATGGGCTTCTAGAAGGCCGACATGCGAGCATGCCAAGATGCGTCAACAATCAAAGGGATGATTATACCTTGAGCCTCTTGAGGGTATAGTGGGCGCCCTCTTGTAGCCATCTCTGAGCGCGTTGGGAGCCTCTTGGGCCGTCCTGAAGTCGGTACGATCGACAGGGGTACGGAACGAATAGGGACGAAGACCGACAGCAGCCCTTGTCCATTTTGATCAGGGTTCGTTATTGTCGTCGCCGCGGACGCTGTCAAGTTTAGAATGCCTGCCTAGCGGCGGCCGCCGTCGGTTTGGGACAACGTTTGCTGCTGTGCGGCTGGTCATCGTACCCGTTCTTCCCGTGCCTCTTTCTGGCGCCCCCCTCCTCCTGCGCCTCCTCCTCCGTTTCTTCCTCTTCCTCCTCCTCCTCCTCCTCCGCCTCCTCCTCCTCCTCCTCCTCCTCCTCCTCCTCCTCCTCCTCCTCCTCCTCCCCCTCCTCCCCCTCCTCCTCCTCCCCCTCCCCTCCTCCCCCTCCCCCTCCTCCCTCCTCCTCCTCCTCCTCCTCCTCCTCCTCCTCCCCCTCCTCCCCCTCCCCCCTCCTCCTCCTCCTCCTCCTCCTCCTCCTCCTCTCCTCCTCCTCCTCCTCCTCCTCCTCCTCCTCCTCCTCCTCCCCCTCCTCCCCCTCGGGCCCATCTTGGGACCCTCTTGGCGCGTTTCAGAGCTCGTGGGGCCGTCTCTGGACGGGCTCGGGGCGTACTGCCGCCCTCTCGGGGCGGCCGCTGGTCGCCTCCGGGCCACGCGCGGGCCGAAGCAACAGATTGCCTGGGAGCAAGACCGGGGAGGCGACCATCGAAACATGGCGGGCACGTGCGATGAGAACTCGTGCGGTCGTGGATGCCTGCGAAGAAATCACCGCCGCCCCCTGCCTTCTGGCATCGCCCATGTGGCCGAGCGTTGCGGCCAGAGCTCTGCCAAGCTATCGGGCCCTGTGCTCCCCCAGCCGGTGTGGAAGATGCGGGGGAGGGGGCGGAAGAGGAGGAGGAGGAGGAGGAGGAGGAGGAGGAGGAGGAGGAGGAGGAGGAGGAGTGCCATTCTGGCCCCCTTGCGGCCGCATTCCCCACCACTCGCGGGCCGCGCGCGAGCGTCTGGCCCCACATGGCAGCTGCCACAGTCGCTGGGCGCAGGCGCGCCCCCCCAGGCGAGGCGACACCGCCCCGCTTTGCGGAGTCTCCGCCGACGGCGCGCATCGCAGGGGCACCGAGGCGCCGAGCCTGAGGGAGAGAAAGAGAGAAAACGAACAAAATAAACGAAAGGCTGATCGACTGCATCTTCGACTCTCCAGTGCTGTTCAAAGGCTCATCACGGCAGCATGCCGCCGAAAGGGGCTGGTCGTCAGAATGATTGGCAGAAGGAATAGTGGTAGATGAATAGTTGGCAAGCGTGGAACAGCAGGCCGTGGGTGAGAAGTCATGCAAGAGGTCGAGGAAGAGATCATGATGCAAGAAATCGCATGGAACGTGCCATGTCTAAGCATCGGGCAACATTGATCGAGGACATCACTGTTGCAACGATGGGCGAAACAAAATTCCACTGTATTTGCAGGTGGCCTCCCAGAGGGCAAGCCACATATCAAACTGTTCAAGTTAGATCTCAACAACCACATGCAGAAGCCGGCGGACGTGTGCAATCTATATATATATGTATATATATATACATATATATATATATATATATATACGAAGGACATTGAGCATATAGACGTACAGCTCCTGAGTATGATGCAATGACGAAGGAAGCGGCATGGTCTCGAACTGGAACTTAGTCATCATAGGACAAAGTTGGTCGTACGTCTGGAAACGGCCGAAGAAGACATGGATGAATAATTTGAGGACATTGGGTTTGACGTGGACGATGAGAAGGACGATGTTGAACTGAATGTAAGGAAGAATACGTGACCGACACCGCCAGAGCCACCAAGCAGAGAGGGACGCAATGCTGCAGTCGAACAGATATCCCCGCAGAACATCGGTGATCACAAGATGAAGTTGATACTGTAGCTGATGCATAAGTTAGCGGAAGCGGCATCGAGCCAGACGCATCAGAACATGGCAATGCAGGAGCAGATGCCAGAGCAGCTGGTGCTGCCAGAGCACATGCACTTGGCATGTGTACACGCAACCTATGCAACACACGACGGATTGATGAGCAGGAGAAGAAGACGATCGCAGAGGGGAAATAAGGCGGCAGAAGAGAACAATCGGAAGCCCAGAGAGGCACAGAACTGGCAAGAGTGGAGCGCGAAAGACAAGCTGCACACATACAGAAAGAGCAAGCAACCCAGAAGGCCCAGGAGGACATTAACAATAATTTTGAGAAGTTAGCAGAGCGGACGCCTGCAGGGCCGCAGCCTCGATTTTTCCACCCCGATGCGCAGCTGCATTTCTCATTGGGAACGCGGGCAGACACGCGACCGACCTCGATGGCAGGATCTCAGATGGAACCGCCGCCGTCGCCGATGGAGGCGCCATCCATTATCGAAGGCGCCATCAAAGCAGTTGAAGTTATTCGGCAACGCTGTTTAATATGAAGATGAAGTTGGCCGAGCTCCGCGGGCGGCAGCAGGAGAGGCGAGTTTTTAGGAGCCGATGCGAAGCACGGGTCCGCATCGACCACCAGCGGAGAAGCACGAACAGGTAGCCGAGGAGGGGCAGGATGAGATCGACGCGGAGGCGCCAGACGCGATGCACCGCGCACAACATGAATTTACATTCCGCCACGGAGCCGATTCGACCCAAGTTAGAACGTCGCAAGAAGAGGCCATCGACAGTTTCGTCCGGGAGAAGTTTAAGTCGGAACCGACTGCCACAGGAGGGCCGCGCGCGCGCGAGATGACGGCGGCAATGAAAGGTGGACGAGCAGAAGAGGGAGGGCGCGAAGGTAGAGGACCTCGGAAAGCGATGGGCGCATGTGGGAGGGGATCTTCAACGCCATCGGCGGCGCCATTGTCGCAGGTATCTACGATTACGCCGACGGCGCAGCTTCAGCAGCCCTCGACCCACGGACCAGCGCCACCATCGGACAGCGGAAATGATTTGCAAGGAGCCACCAGCAAGGGCGCGAATGGGCCAGGCAGAGGGAGGCGGCGGTTCTGAGCGCCCGGCGGACCGCGCGCGCGCGCCATCGCAGAGGCGGTCGACGGGGGGGCAGGCAATGAGGGGGCACAAAGGTGGCAGACAAGCTGGCGTAGAGAGGCGCTTTTGTTCGCCAGAACAGAGGCGCGCGCCGAATTCAACGCCGCACTTCCTCTGCGAGGAGACTGGGGGGTCCGAGGTCAGGCAATGCAGTTGCGCCGACCTTGCGTTGAAGTTTTTCGGCCAAGAGTGCCCGTCTTACAGCGGTGGGAGAGCGCGACGCTCGAGGGGTGAATTGCGGGTCATCTACGCCGAGGCAGCAGGAACACGCCGCTCATGGCGGCGACCCCCGCGCCCCCTTGGATGGTTTTCATAGAGAATGAAAAGGCAAGAGCTACCTGGTCGGCGCGCGGGGGCCGCGCAGTCAGGGGTCACCCTCAACTCAGTCGAGCTGAACGCAGCGAAGGTGGTGGACCCGGCCGCCATGGGCCAGTGGGCGGAGAAGGACAGGGAGCGAGAGGCCCGAGGGGTCAGCCAAGGCGTGAGTTAGTCATGCCAGGACAATCTCACACGCGAGCGTCTAGACGACAGAGGATGGGGCTACGATGGGATAGTCGCCATTCCGATCTCGCCGACCTGGAGCAAATGCGCTGCAACGCGGCGCCGCCGAGGGTGGGCCACATACACGCGGATGGCTCGCGCGAGGAAGCCGCCCCTGCCTGCGACAGGTGGGCCGCGGCGGCCAGCTCCTTTGGCGGCGAAGCTTTTTTCTTGCCGCGGGCACCTAACATCTGAAGCGAGTTGGAAGCTCGCAAAGCGCGA